AACATCGCAACACTGAAATATAGCATTCAATATTATCCTTTGAATCTCATACTTGCTGGATGATATAAAATACATGTAAAGGGTAAGGATTCCAATACATCGGAGCATTAATGTGTTATGCTGAGAGTTAGTACAATATGTCACATGGACTAATCTATTCATTTGTTCTTTCTGTGTTTATAAGAGAAGAAATATTGACCAAAATCAGCCAATAAACAAAATAAAAGCCGCAGGAATAACCAAGACTCAGGAACAATAAGTCCAATACAAAGACAGCAACACTCTGACAACACATTCTGCTAATAACAGAAATGATCCCATACCTAGCCAAGGAGGAGGGGAAAGCTGATTAATTGTCCCCCATAATCCGCTCTTCTTGCACACATAACTCACCAACCAACCTGCCAAGGGATCAAAGGCGACCTCACAAAAACTTTTTTGGGTTAAAGTAGATGTAAACAATAACTGAAGGACATCGAGTTGGCTAACCCCCTATGTCAAAGACAACGGCCATACAAAATGTATTCATCATTTTTCACCCTTTATTGCATCTAATTGCTGCTGCTCTCTTTCAATATTTGTAGCCACTTCTTGTCTACATGCACTCCAGTATGGGCTTTACGACACTTCCTAGGCTAGGCTTCCCAATATTGTGGGTGTAGGAATGCGTGTTCCAGCACTCGCAGCCGAAACACGCTGCTCTTTTGCATGGGGTTGCCATTCATTCTTAATGGCACCCCCATGCATTGGAAAACATGGTGCATTTTCAGGTGCATGCAACTGCATAGTGCAAAAGCACCATGAGGTTCCATGCACCCACATTTTCAAAAAAGGGTCAGGGATTTTATTTCTGCAGGAAATGCAGGTACAGCAGCCCATTAAAATGAATAGACTACTGTGCCCGCAAAAACGAAAGCTGTGCCACACATTACAACAGGGGTCTCCAAACTATGGCCGTACTACAAGTCCCATCATGCCTCTGGATGTCTTGCCTGTGGCTGTCAGAGTCTTGCAAGGCCTCATGGGACTTGCAGTTCCTCAACACCTGGAGGGCCATAGTTTGTAGACCCCTACACTACAGTGTGCCCCTAGCATTAGGGCAGGCTTTCTGATGGTGACAACAGTGCCCCATGCCTGCATAATGTGTTTTAATATGGCCACCTGTAGTCTACGTCAAACATCCATGTGACAGGGTGACAACACAGGACAACCAGGACACAAGGAAAGAACATTGTGGCCTCCAGACTTTCATGGCAGGATCACCAGATATTATTTGAATGAAAGCTGCAGAATGAAAAAGTTTGAAATGAATTTAAAAATGATAAAACCATGGTACATCCTACATGAGATTTTAGTGATTGGGTTTAGACATAGTTACAAGTGTTACTAAACCCACATCAGTAAATTCAGTCTGTATATACAGCAAAGCATGCTTGTTATACTCACTGTGGAACCTAAGGGTTGTGTAAAAAGGCTGTTTGATCCTGTCTTCTCTGATCCTCCCCTTCTACTGTCCCCAATCCATCTGCTGATAGTACAGAGCCCTAGGAGTGACTCTGCACATGCTCAGTTTGATCTGTATTGCTTGGGAGCTTTTTATTGTTTTTTTTGGGGAGAGTGCATGTGATCAGCATAGGACCGATCAACGCTGTCCAGACAGAGGGTCAGGGGTCATGCAGTCTCATAGGACAGTCAGAGGAGAATGAAAACTCCTCCTATAAGTTTTAACCAGTGTTCTGCTGAACACTGATATAAGTCACAAGACTGCTCTAACTGCTGATAAGAAAAGGGATTTAGCAGTTTATATTTACTAAAACAAATGCATTTCCATGCTCTGTGTACTGTGGAAGACCAGATATAGTGAATGCAGGGTCCGGGATTCCAGATATAGTGAATGCAGGGTCCTGGGTTAAGTAACACTTTACAGAAGAAAACAAAAGTCCTAGTGAGACAATAGCCTATTGCTTGCATTTGTTATTAGAGTAGCAGTTAATTTCATTCCATTTCTTCACATAAACGGCAATGACTTCTGAACAAGTCCACCCACTGTTGTCAGCTCCTACTTGATAGGCAATATAAATATGTAAATGGTCGTGTCAGATTACATGCTCAGGGATAATTGCTGCACTGCTTGTAGGAAATTATACAATTCTTAGGGATGAAGCTCACAGGGTTGGAACGTAACAGAAAAAGCTGTTTAATAAATACTACAACTCCCAGCAGGATCTGTCACCCAGGACATGATCCAATGTTTAAAAACACGGGGCCTTATTAATAAAACAAATGGGCAAAAACTGACATTACTATGTTAGAAAATTGAGGGGAGACATTGACTGCTTTTCAACAGATCATAGACCAGATGCAAATAACACAACATATAGATACATGACAAGATACACTAATGTGACAAAGGAATTATTATAGCGGGAACTACACTGTATCTGACCACCACAAATCAAAAACGCTATTTAATCCCCCCACCCCCATCCATCAATGCCTCTATGCTTTATTTCTGGCCTTGGCCATCTTAAGTAAGGCTAGATGATTCATATATCATTTACTTCCTGGAATCCATCTACCCTTAGCTCAGGCATGCAGGCAGGAAGGTGTGCTTAGTTGAGAAAACCCCTCCTGAAGACTCCTGGGATGTATGACATCATTTGCCTAGGCTTGGAAACCAGGAAGTAACTGAAGAAATAATTAAAAAAAAAAGTTTAAAACAAGTAAATATGATATATTTTCCTATCTATTTACTGATTCTAGCAGCATAAGGATTAATAGTCAAAGCTGATTGAGAGAGTGAAGTTCCACTTTAAATCTCTTCTTTCACAAGACTGAGCAAGGCTGGCCATTCTTTAGGCCCGTGTCTTCCAAATCTGACCTCAGACATATTAGAGGAACATTAATGCAGCTCTGTGTTCAATAATATATAAAATATACTTTTTTAATGCAAACAGTGTAAATTCCTGAATTTGGCTTGGTGTTTCCTGAAGTCCCTGGAACCGCAGCATGCCATGCACGTGTGCAGTGGGAAGCAAACTGCGAAACACCAGGTAGTCACAGCTTCCCACAAGCAAGATGGTGGTGTTGGGTGAGGATTGGCACTAGATACCTAGGCTGGTAAGTATCTGTATATTAATTCCTCATGCACAACGGACGTTTTTACAGCGGCTGTTTTAAGTTTTTGGCACTTTTTTCTACAGCTAGTAAACTGCCCAGCATGTTATCCTATGTGTCCATGCACACATAGGCTTTAATCAGCATTTTGTTGGCTGGAAAAAAACTCCAGAACTTTCTGGGTTACTAGAGGAGTTTTTTTTTTAGCTGTAAAAACGCACTATCGCTGGTAAATGCGGCCAAATGCCGCAAACTGGCATTTTTTGTGCCAAAATGTAGTTTTTTTGTGTAAAATATGCATCGAACTCGAAAAACACAACTAAATGCTAATGCAAAAGTGCAAAAAAAATGTGGAAAAACTCATGGTTTTTTTTTTCTTTTTAATTTAAACACATTTTATTGTCAAGATAATAGAGAAAATGGAACAGTACTTACAGAGTCCACAATGACATTACTGCAACAGCAGGATTACACATAAAAAGAACAACGTGGACACGCAGATCCCGTAAAAGACACAATAACAGAAATAGTAATCAAACAAAACAGAGGCCACAAGGATTCAAAACTTTCTTGCCAATACCTTGCTTTTTACGTTTTTACTTTTTATTCCTTCCCGTCCAGATGTAAACAAAAATGGGGGAAAGGAACAAAGCCCAAAACATGCCTACAAACAATAAAAAAAAAACCCACATCAACAACAACTAATGGTTCGCCCGAGACGTCTCGTCAGAAAGAAAGGGAGGTGCAAACTCATGATTTAAACGTGACTTTATACAGCTAACACTACTGCCATTTGTAAAATGCCCAGTGTGCATGAGGACTAAAAGTCAGTGGGTACAGTATTTGTAGCTGCGGACTTTTACTTTTTTTTTTTTTATAACAGACTGGAACTCCTCTTTAAAGAAGGACAGTCCCTCCATACCAGGGAGAGTTTAGAGCTATGGCTTTGTCTTTTACCTGGAATCAGGGTCCAATATCTCCTCAATCCCTCTAGATCAGAGGTGTCAAACTGGTGGCCCTCCAACTGTTAAAAATACAAGTCCCATCATGCCTCTGCCCTTGGGAGTCATGCTTGCAACTGTCAATCTTGCAATGCCTCATGGAACTTGTAGTTTAGCAACAGCCGGAGGACCGCCAGTTTGATACCTGTGCTCTAGATCAGCTTTTCTCAACCAGGGTGCCCAGGCACCCTGGGGTGCCTCGATGTTTCTTCAGGGGTGCCTTGGCAAAATGTCTAAAAATTGCCCAAAACTTGTATACAAACCAGCGGGCTTAGTTACCCAAAGCCACAGGTTTTCATTGTGCACCATTACGACCTTCTAGCTGCTGGCGTCCTGACAACCAATGACATCATCAGTTGATAAGGAGAATGTCAGCTGCCTGCACAGCATCCTAGTTTGACCCTCCCCTGCCCCTCTCCATCAGTGCCGGGGTCACATCAGCTCAGTGATGGAGAAAAACTGAGGGAGAAGAGAAACACTGGAATAATACAGAGTACCAGTGTGCAACAGTGTATTTGCTTTGGAAGAATAAATCTCCAATGTTGGGTGTCCTACATGTGTGGATGTTGCTGCATTATATAGAACTTTTAAAATAGTTTTTCACATTCTAGTATGGGGTGCCCTTTTAAAATTATGGACAATCTCGAGACACCCCATTTTAGAAGACTGTCTATACTTTTAAAGGGTACCTCAGGACTGTCCATAATTTTAAAGGATGCCTCAGGACTGTCCATCATTTTTAAAGGGTACCTCAGGACTGTCCATAATTTTAAAGGGTGCCTCAGGACTGTCCATAATTTTAAAGGGTGCCTCAGGACTGTCCATAATTTTAAAGGGTACCTCAGGACTGTCCATAATTTTAAAGGGTACCTCAGGACTGTCCATAATTTAAAAGGGTACCTCAGGACTGTCCATAATTTTAAAGGGTACCTCAGGACTGTCCATAATTTTAAAGGGTACCTCAGGACTGTCCATAATTTTAAAGGGTACCTCAGGACTGTCCATAATTTTAAAGGGTGCCTCAGGACTGTCCATAATTTTAAAGGGTACCTCGGGACTGTCCGTAATTGTAAAGGGTGCCTCGGGACTGTCCATAATTGTAAAAGGTGCCTCGGGACTGTCCATAATTGTAAAGGGTGCCTCGGGACTGTCCATAATTATAAAGGGTGCCCCGGGACTGTCCATAATTGTAAAGGGTGCCCCGGGACTGTCCATAATTGTAAAAGGTGCCTCGGGACTGTCCATAATTGTAAAGGGTGCCTCGGGACTGTCCATAATTATAAAGGGTGCCCCGGGACTGTCCATAATTTTAAAGGGTGCCCCGGGACTGTCCATAATTTTAAAGGGTGCCCCGGGACTGTCCATAATTTTAAAGGGTGCCCCGGGACTGTCCATAATTGTAAAGGGTGCCCCGGGACTGTCCATAATTGTAAAGGGTGCCTCGGGACTGTCCATAATTTTAAAGGGTACCTCAGGACTGTCCATAATTTTAAAGGGTACCTCAGGACTGTCCATAATTTTAAAGGGTGCCTCAGGACTGTCCATAATTTTAAAGGGTGCCTCGGGACTGTCCATAATTGTAAAGGGTGCCTCGGGACTGTCCATAATTATAAAGGGTGCCCCGGGACTGTCCATAATTGTAAAGGGTGCCCCGGGACTGTCCATAATTGTAAAGGGTGCCTTGATTGAAAAAAGGTTGAGAAACACTGCTCTAGATTGTAAACTTTCTGGAAGTAGTCCTGCAACAATGCTTTCCTTGGTGCTCCAATCACATCCAACTCTTTACAGAACATTTTGCAGCGTTTCAATAAGAAAAGGGAAAAAAAAAAAAAACAATTAAGTGGCAAAATCAGTAACACGGCTATTATTAGTTTCTGCACTGATTATGTAAATGATCGCTAATGAGCAATTATAAAGTCATCTGTCCTTTACTGATCATGCGTGTCATTATATTTCACTGGAATCAGCTTTACTGTATCGCATTATATATTCTGACGTTATGTACCAAGCTCTGATCTATTACGGTAACAACGTCAAACCAATTATTGTCTGACAGTTATAAGCAGGAAGTGGCATTTAACTTATTTCTTTTAAAACCTAATAGCTGACAATGAATCTGGCGTGATAATTAACGGATGGTTTTCCTAATGAAGATGACAGTCTCTGCCCCATTTTTTCCTCTTTTTATTTTATCTCTATCCTTGTTCTATTTTTTATTTCAGCTCGCTTTCTGTCTTCTAGTCTCACTCACTTTTATTTTCTTTCTTTTTACACTTTTTATTAGTTTTCTTTAGTTTTTTTTAATTAGTTTTCTTTAACTTTTTTCTTTCTTTTGCCCTCACTTATCTTTTCTTCCTCTCTTCATTGTTTCTCTTTTTCATCTTTTCCCCAGTTTTGTTTCACAATTTATTTCCTTTTATATGTTACCTGTTTTGTTCTTTTGTTTATCTTTATTCTGCCTGGTTTTTTCCCTTCCCTCTCCTTCACTTCCTTTTTCTCTCTCTTCCTTTCCCTGTTCAGGTTTCTTTTCTCCTTCTCTGTTTCACTTCTTTCCTAAATTCCCCTATTCATTCATAATCCATCTCCTTTTCCCTCATCTCACTTTGTGTTCTCTCTCTTCATTCTTTCTCCTTCATGGGTCTTCTCTCTCTCTCTGCCCTTCGTCCCCTTCTAGAAATCTTTGAACCAATCTAAAAAGTGCAATAAAATATTTTCCTCGGGCTGAATTAATGTCTTCCATTGTGGTGAGTATTCTACTGCACATGACCAAAACGGATGAACTTTGGCGCTGAGCATTTTGGTGGCATTTATGTTAAATGCACATATGCATTGTAGCAAGCACATCTGTGCATTGTGGGCTGTGCACTGATAACAACTTTCAATGCCAATTACATACAAAATACTGTAGGTTAACTTACCTGTGGGAATGAACAGCAATTGTTACAGTACCTCTGCTGGATCTTCCAGGATTTTCAGGACTCCTAGGACATCCAATACTTACAGTATCCATGTCAAGTCTTCCAGGATTTCCAGGACTTCTAGATCTTCACAAACTTCAGGACCTCCAGACTTCCAGTAAAGATGCTAGGCATAACCTCTAACCAGGAGGATATTTAAGCCCCAATTTTTGGAATGGCTGTTGCTGTGTCCTATCGCCAGCTACCTGAGGGACCTAAAGGACAACAATATTTGCCAGCCAGTTGCTGACCCTGACTGACCTCACTAATCTCTTGTGTTGCTGCTGCCTGCCTAGACCTCGGCTCGAACCTGAGTACACTCTTGTTTGCTGTCTGCCTAGACATTGGCTAAAACCTGATTACACTCTTGTTTGCTGGTTGCCTAGACCTCGGCTTGAACCTTATTATATTCTTGTTTGCTAGCCCAGTTGCTGACCCAGACTGACCTCACTAACCTCTTGTTTGCTGCCTGCCTAGACCTCGGTTCGAACCTGAGTACACTCCTGTTTGCTGTCTGCCTAGACATCGGCTAAAACCTGATTACACTCTTGTTTGCTGGCTGCCTAGACCTCAGCTTGAACCTGATTACACTCTTGTTTGCTGACCCAGACTGACCTCACTAATCTCTTGTTTGCTACCTGCCTAGACCTCGGTTCGAACTTGAGTACACTCTTCTTTGCTGTCTACCCAGACCTCGGCTCAAACCTGCTTACACTCTTGTTTGCTGACTTCCTAGACCGTGGCTTGAACCTGATTACATTCTTGTTTGCTGCCTGCCTGACCTTGACTCAAACCCGATTGCACTCCTGTTTGCTGCCTGCCTAGACCTCTGTTTGAACCTGATTACACTATTGTTTGATGACCTAGTTGCTGACCCAGATTGACCTCACTAATCTCTTGTTTGCTGCCTGCCTAGACCTTGTCTCCAACCTGATTACATTCTTGTTTGCTGTCTGCTTAGACCTTGGCTAAAACTCTTGTTCACTGCCTGGCTAGACCTCTACTTGGACTTGGCTACTGTCTCATCTGCTTCCTGCCTTGACCCCTGCCAGAAGCTGACTACTCTCTCCTCTGCAGTCGAACCCCATCCTCTCTGTTCCAGTCACCTCTGTGGATGGGGATTCCTGAGGGCCGTGACTTGGTATCAGTTTGTATAAAAGGAAACCAGGATCACAAGGGTTCCTGCTCCATCACCACCATCAGGAGGAAGACCAATTGCCATTAAAATTCCTCTTTTTGAGTGAGTGTGCATCACCTGCTGGGGGGCACTGTAATAGCAACACACTCAAGCAGTGTGAAGGTGTTCTTAATATGCCTTACCCTTGGTTCACATCTGGTGCCACTGCAGATCCGCACAAAAATCTGTGCAGCTGCACCACCCACACAGAGGAATACGGACCCGCGGGCAGGTGCCATTAATTCTAATGGTACACCGCCCGTTCTGGAAATTGCAACCGTACTGGGATCCGAGGTTCCTGTGCGGGCTGCATTTTCCGAAGAACTGCAGGGACTTCTTCCCTGTGTGTCCCGGGGCGCGGGAGTCCATTCAAATGAATGGGCTCTCGTGTCCATGCAAAACGTGCCCGCAGGAATGCACAGATGTGAACCTAGCCTTAATGCAACTCACATTAACATGGGAATTATTGTATTCTAACATGTTGGGTAACATACGGCAACACTTGGATCAATGTGAAGGGGTCTTTCTGCAGCTGTGTGTAAATCATAAAAGATAATTAGGCAGCGCCGTATTCTAAGCATTGCCAGTAAAGGTTATGCAGAAAAAAAGATCAGATGAAAGTTTTTATGTTTTCAAAGGAACCAAGCCAATAAGGAACAACCCCTGCATACATACAGTAGATAATCCAATCATTTGAAATCCAAACATGCAATCCTCCTTTGCATCATATAAAAGAAAGTTTCCCTGAACTTTGCCTCGTGTTGCTGTGTGATGTCACTAATTGTGAACAGTTACTTTGATCCTAGATTCCTTTTGCACAGAAAAACGTAGCAGTATCAGCCACCAAACACATTTCTAGGACTGTGGATTTCAAAGAATGATTGTGTCTCAAGGAGAGGCAGCGGTGGGGGGGTGTAAAGTTTTAAAAGTAAGTATAACAGCTCTGTCATAGCTTCAGCCTGCTATTTGTTATCTGTTGGAAATACATCATAAGCAATCATTAGCAATGCGGGACCAGGAAACACCAGCAGACTGGAAGACCAAGATCACCATGTACTCATTATAACAAGGAAAGAGATCAGAAATTCAAAAGGTAGGAGTTCTATCCTGTCTGCTAATGACTGCTTCTCTCAGGCAATCAACAGCTCAGGTGCCACTCACAGCCATGCCTCGTGCCCTTCGGGCTGATAATTGGGCCTCAGGTGAAAGGTCAGCCGATGTGATCCAATCCAGGTGCGCCGTACCAATTTGTCAAAGCAGCAGCCCAGCTAACAATGGGAGCTGAGAAAAATGACAAACATGCCAGGCATGCGGCAGTGTGAGCTCTCTGGATGCTGTTACTAGACTAAAGAATAACATATACTTATATACTTATTACAACAATTTTAGGATAAAAACAGAACAATACGCCACTTCACCGAAACCAAATTTATTTGAAAAAGCTGGTGAAACATATAAAAAATGCTTTCTAAATCAGGGCTGCTGTTAAGAGACCACAGGGCCCCATACAGTCAACCTGACAGAGCCCCCCAAACCATGGGGCCCCATACAGCCAACCTGACAAGTCCCCCCATTCCCATAACAAAAACACAGTCTACTATACTTCAATTATGAATGAACACAGTGATTGATTGGTGCCAATCACTCATTGTGTTCATTCAGGAAAAGAAGGGGCTGGTAAATGTAACATATTTACCAGACCCTTCCACCACTGTCCATCCTGCAGGATCCTATTGTATCCAGCCGATGGGAATGAGAGGAGGGAAGCCAGCAACATTACAGGGGTGAGGGGTGATGGATGCACCAGGGTGGGGCAATTACTGTAACTGTTTCCCTGTATGGCCCTCTTTGCAGCAGCTGAAAGCTGGCTTCTTCCCTTTCCCTACCGCTGGCTTTCAGCTGCTGCAGAGAGAGCCATACAGGGAATCATCTCCAGTAATCCCCCCCCCCCCACAACATGCCATGCTGATCACACTCCATGCCCACATCTGATTCACTCAGCTGCCTGGGCCCCTCTACTGGCCTGGGCCCCGTACAGGAGGACTGGTGGCACCCCCCCCTTATCCACGGCCCTGTTCCAATGGATCTGATTTAGGTACAGAAACACATAAGCATGCATACATGCACATACATGGACACGCAAAATGAAGTCCACAGATCAAACCAAGCATCAATAGATGCAACGACAAAAGTAAATGGTTTGCTCTTTCATGAGATGGGGAAGGGTTCCCCTCCGATTTAAAGCCCGACTCCAAGTAGATTTTTTTTCCATGGGTTAATGGCTCATTTTTTCCTAGGGGAGAGGAGAGTGGAGATATACTTACCTGATCCTCTACCCTTCCACCCCAAGACCAGTTAGGCACCCCGGGCTCCAGTGGTCCTGAATAGTAAACTATTCCTGATGTCATGCACAGATTAGACTCCATAGACCAGGAACAGTCTACCGCTGGTCTGTGGGGGAGTGATGTTTTCCGGAGGATCAAAGG